CTCCACAATTAATTAAGATCTTTCTCATTTAAAAGGTTTCCACAAAAGGAGATCCTATATAATTTATTTTAGTTATAATACTCTTGATTTTTATTATTTTCTTATTTAAGTCAAAATTTAATTTTTGATGTAATTTTTACAATTAATTTAAAAGATTTATTTTCATATAATGCACATAATTTATACTATAAATAGACCTTTAATTCATGGTCGTACTCATTCAAGTTCAAGTAATAAAGTTATAAAGTTAGGTCAACTTATTAAGATAATCTTGTGACATTTTTTTAATTTTTAAAATTTTTCCAATTACCTTTGTTCTTATCACTCATGGATAATATGTTAAGTATGAAGATTTTAGTTAGGATTTAAGACTTTGATGCTATTTGAGTATTGTGTAAGTTTTGGATTACAATGTTGATCCTAGTATCAGAGTTTAGCCTCGATAAAATTCTAATTATCTTTATATCTTTTATCCTTGCATCGTTATTATCATTCATAATAATAATAAAAAAAAAGTAAAAAAGCAAATAAATTTGGTTTTTCCTTGCTTGTTATATTTGGTTTTTTAGTTTATCTTTAGATCCATCATCAAAACCCAAAAAAAAATTGACATATACATATTATCTTTCTTGCACTCTAAGTTTCTTTCTTTCATTGTGTCTTTTGTTCAATTATATCAATAAGTAGCTAATTACGTTATAGTTATTTAGCATTGTAAATAAACACATCTCATCTTCTATCATCCATGTGTTTATCTTCTGTGATCATCTAAATTCGTTTACCACTTTCCTCTATTAGGATTCATTGAACAAAACTTGATTATCTCGATTCAAATGAATTTAATTCTGATATTCAACTTGAATGAATGAGGTTAAATGAAACATAAATAGTGAAACACATGAGGAGTGTTATTTTCTTTACTTACCGTTTCTTGTAGATTTTCACAATGACCTTAGATAATGTCTTGGCCAATATAAGATCCTATATGGAGGCTATCTTAAGTTAGTTTAGAAAGCTTAAAGGGGAGTTAGAAGATTATAGAGATATTCTAAAAGGAGTAAATCAAAGAACTCCTACCTCATCAAGAGCTAACCACCGAATCCAAGAGAAGGAGATCAATTCATGTGACAACATAGAAAAAGCTAAGACCACAGGAAAAGAGATAAATTGATACCGTGGGAGAAAAACAAGTTGAAACCGTTGGAGAGAAGAAAATTGACACCATGGGAGAAGAATAAATTAAAGTAGCAAGACTAAAGAAAAATAATGCCACGAGAGAGAAGACAATTGATACCATAAGAGAACAGAATTTGAGGTAGTAAAAGAAAAAAAAAAAGAGGATACCGCAGAAAAAGAGAAAAATGATATCGTGGGAAAAATAAAAAACTAAGAAAGCTCTCTTTCAAGGAAAAATTATTAAACCACCATAAATCTTCTTTATTTAATGGTGATATTTTGTAGGATATATTTTTTTAAGAAAGCAGATT